TTTGAGAGCTACAGCATAAGGGATGGTTTTCATAGAGTAAAAACTTGACTTGTGAAACTGCAGGAGAAGTTTTTCAAGAGCACATGCTCTTGCCCTGCAGTCAAATACTCATCTGGTTGTTTGTATGCGAATAGCTCATATGTTTCTCGGATATAACAGCCTGTGGCTCTCTGGCATGGCATTTAGATGTGCACTGATGGCTTACAAAATGACCAGGTTTGTTTGTATTTGTTTGCTTACAGCAAGATGCCAGCGTCAGGTTTAATTCTCTGCATTCCCAACATCAGATTTTAAAGGTCAGTGGGGAAAACACATCTACACAAAAATGATAGTTTGTGATGTATTGTAAAATATGCATGCCTTTTCGTCCCACAACAAACACAGATAATTCACTGTTGTGTGTCTACGTGTGTGTGTTTACCATCAGAACCAGCATGATGACCTAAAAAAGCAGCATTATGAACTACAAGAGCAACATCAGCTACAAGAAGATGAACACAACAAGGCAGTAGATGAACATAAACAGAGACTGGACCAGCTTCATCAGAATAAAGAGTCTGAGATTTCTAAGCTCCAAGGTATTATGTTCTCAACCATCTTACTCTTAGCAATCACGTAGCAACACCCTTGCATCCTAAAAGAATCACGGTGGTGTGTTTTGCACAGGCAAGGAATGTGAACATTTTGTTTGACCTGTACTACCCACAGTTGTTTTTGTCATCTACTGGTGTCTGTATGGTGGAATTACAAGCTGCAGTCATTTCAGCTGACTCTCTTTTTCTCTTTTCTTCTGCAGACAATATATATAACCTACGTGAGGAGAACAAGCAGCTGAGAAAAGCTCATCAGGAAGTCTATGTGCAGCTTCAGGACACCAGGGTAATGCCGAAAAGCACTATGGGTTTTGCTTTATATCAGCATTCAGCACAATGCTTCAGCTCTAAAATAAAATGCTTCAGCTCTTCTTAGAGGAATAGCACAAAATGTGTGTTATGGTTATTGGTATAATTAAGATGAATGGGTGAATCTTGTGAAAATATGTCTGTTTTGGACTAAAATTCTCCAAAAATAAATACATACAAACAACCAAACAAAC